TAAGTTCTTTGGAAACAAGCCACTCAAGATATATTTGAGATGTTTTTCAATTACTTGTATTAAGAAATCCACAGCAAAATGACTTTATGGAAGAGCTTTAATATATTTGTATATTGAATGCAGAACAGTGACCTTAGACCTCTGTTTATAAGGCCTGACTTCATATTTGATAACAAAACAATGGCTCTCAGTTGGCTGGAGAATACATATGCCATTTTATGATAAACTGAAAACTTAGACAAGAGGAAAGAGCTTTCTGAGAAGGGGCTAACCAACATGCTGCAATGTTTCAGGACACATTTAGCATGCTATGATATGTGTTTTGAATTGCTTCGTTAAGTTTGGGATTGAGATGCTTCATTGTTGTCCCAAACTCTTTTACCTCCAAATGAGGAAGTGGTGAATTATTAACTTCTCTGGCTTGATATGAGTCCCAGTCCCTGAATGGTTAACAAGAAGGCGTTAGAGTCAGATGGTTTGGAGGTCGGTGTCTTGGTTCCCTCATCTTCTCGCTGCATCAGCACAGTTAGCATATCCTCCGTGAACTCTGAGGCATTTCACTTCATTCTTTCGAGCCCACATGCCCTTATCTGTGTGTTAATACAGATTAAATTTTGTGAGTATTCAAAACACTTAGCACAGGGTGCTCTGTGTTAAATCTTGGTATTTATAACTAACGAGGGTTCTGGCAATCATTTTCTGATCTCTTTTCTCAAATAGAGGGCTATTTCTTCAAGGTACCAAAGAACTAAAAAGGTTGCTAGTCCAATTGAATTGATTCCAAGAGATTAGGAAATTAATAGCACTTAGATATCTGCATATAGGCATGGCCAGGTAATCCCTATTTATTGATGACAAGTTAAGAAGCACCATCTACTTCAGTTAGGGGTTTGATGGTAATAGCACAGGTGAAAGTTAAGGTCTATGAAGTGTCACAGAAATGTGCTCTGGGAAAAACATGTTGCCTAAATATGCCATGAGTACTCTTACAATTCATGGAAACAATCGTTTTCCAATGCTACTGAAGGAAATCCATGTGTTTCTTACCCATGAGCTAATTCTGTCTTGTTGAGATTTCTTACAATAACTGAGATTTATATGATCCCTTTCTGTTATGCATTTTCATGGCAATTCCAGCCCAACTCATTTAATATTCATAGCATTTTTATATGATATACAAAACAGAGTATTGGGGCTGGGGATTTAGCTCAGCAGCACAGCACCTGCCTGACAAGCACAAGGTAGTGAGTTCGATTCCTGGTACCAGAAGAAAACACACACACACACACACACACACAAACAAACAAACAAAAAACAGAGAGTATTAATGTCATTTTCATTTATTTTTTCTTCATTTTAGCATGGAAATATGACACCCAGAGAGGCTATGCAACTTGTCCAAAGGTCATGCAGCTGCTCAGTAGCCAAAGCAACAAGAAGGGAAGAACTTTCAGTTCAGTGAGCTTCCCAGGGCTTCTGAAACCACAGCATGCATATGAATCACTGGAAATCTTGTTACCATTCAGGTTCTGAATTCAGTAGGTTTCAGGGGTTCTAGGATTCTGAATGTCTAACAAGCTCCTAGAAGTTGCTCCTGCTGGTATTTCTCAGACCATATCTCAGGGTACTGCCATAACACCCTGGGCATGTCCTTCCGGATCCTGCCCAATTGCAATGCACCATATGGGTATTCATTTTCCCCACTAGACTATGAACTCTGAGCGAGCAGGAAAAATGTTTCGCTCATTACTTTGACCTGGCTGTCCTACACTACGCCTTGAATAAAGGAACTAACCAATATTTTTGAAGCATGAAGAAAAAATGACCTATTTCCAATTATAAAGCCACAGGGCAAGCTGGACATGGTTGAACACACCTACAATCCCAGCATGCTGGGAGGCTAGGGCCAGAGGATTACTGCAAGTTTGAGTTCAGCCTGAGAAATTTATTGAGTGCCTGTCTTAAAATATAATTATGAAGACTCTAGAAATATACCTCAGTGCAAAAGCCCTGGGATCAATCTCTAGTGCCATAATAATAATAATAATAATAATAATAATAATAATAATAATAATAATGCCACAATGCTTACACATTGTAACTGTGATTACTTGCTTTAAAATGATGTTTATCATGTATATTTCCTTTTCTCAAGTCATATTATGATAAATAGCTGTAATTACTAGGTTGAAAAAATAACCAAAAGAAGCTCTGCAGAGTCAGCCAGTTTAGACCAGCAGGGCTCCTCCCTGATGTCAAGGTTCCAGCGGAATATAATCACTTCCTTGGGCCAGTGAGTTAAGTAAGGTCATTGAGTGTAAGGGGTGAGTGTAGAATGGCAGGGGCACCAGGGCTCACTAAGACTCTGTGGAAGGTAGAAACAGCACTTCTGCAGTCAGCTGAGGATGATAACAGTAATCTACCAAAAACTGAGGATTTTCCATATGCCAGGCACTGTGCTAAGCACCTGTTACCTCGTGTCATCTCCACAAACCAAGGTCATAGGCACTCATTCCTTAGGAAAGGAAGTTGAGACAAGCTATCAAAGGCTAAGAGGTGAAACCAGGGCTTGGACTCTGTACAGTCTAGCATCATATTCCATAGTTCTGTCCACATCACCCACTGCAGGAAGACTCCCAGGAAAACAAACAATCGCCTCAAGATTCAAGTGATTTTACTCATCTGCCAGTGATCTGATAATGGGTTCCAAGAAATCCTGGTGAGGGCTGGGGAGAAACACATCACAGCAACAGGAGGTGGTCCATAAACACCCAAAGAAGGCTGTGGAAATGTGTTGAAAAGAACATGATTTTCTGTAACAGCTTTTAATCAATGATCAGTTTGACTCTGTTTTATGGCTAATTATATAACTCCACTGAAAAGTGAGGTGAGAGTCAGGGAAGGGATATGTCTCAAAGGTCCAATTCCTTTCACACTTCATTAGGTCCCACAAAATCTTGCATTAATGTTTGGGCCAAACCTGAGAAGACGGTCATCACATGAAAGGAATTAGAGTTTTGTTAAGCGTGTGTGCCCAATATGAAAACATCAGCACGTCTAAAGGACAGAGAGATCTTTGTTTTTCAGAAGCTTAAAAAGCAGTTCCACAGTTATATTTTAACACTGACTGTCAGAAGATTAGGGCGTTTAGAAAACAGGACAAGAGAATGCATCACCAGGTTGCACAGATTGGCTTAATCTTTTTATTCTTGATAGAAGATTTTAATGCTTTATTTTTATGCTTCTGCATGCTAAGTAAATAGAAGCAATCCTAAATACAGCAAGAGAGATGTGAATATCACACTACTGTTGGGGGAAAAAAGTTGACCTCTAGGGGTTGGTTTTTAACTATACTGATCTTACTAATGCATTAGCATTTACCCTTGGCAGGATTATAATATTACAGATTGTAAGGCTCAAGATCTAGTTTCGCTGCTTCTTAGTTATGGTCTCAACCTGGCATAATTCCTGCAAGATTTAATTTCTTTATTAGTAAAGGGGGGAATACATACTTGCATCCTAGGATTACTGTAAGCTTTATGTCATATGACATACTGTGAGCGCTTAATTCCAAATAGTATGTTAGCACAGGTTATACTCTATTCTACCTCTTTTCTTATGAATTCTTTTACTTAACAGTCTCTCTTAGGTATTTCCTTTCCTAATCCTTGAATTTTTGTTTATAGAAATTTTTTTTAATTACCCAAGGTTAAGAAAAAAATCTACCTACAAACTTATGAAATATATGTGTAAGAAAATGACTGTAAAGTATCCTTACATGTAAAGATTGTGTTTCTGGGGTGTTACGCTTGGTGTGTTAAAAATAGAATGTTAGAAAATTTCAGTAGGTATACATAGCCTTAAAAATCAATTTCACTGATAATTTCACTTGCAAATTTTAGTCAATATATCAAATAAAAATAATGTTTTAAAAATTAAAATTTTATGATTCTGTAGTGAAGATCCTCTGGGAGAAAAATTTTCACTTCAATTTATTTGAACATTAATTATAAACCATAAAGAACTAAATAATACACAAGGTTATTTCTACTATAATATCTTGGCTTCTAGAATAAATTGATATTAAATTAATATCACTTCTCGAATGACTAATGATGTTGAACATTTTTTCATGTATTTATCTGCCATTAGTATTTCTTCATCTCAGATGTCCATTTTTGTATTGGGTCTTTGGATTTGGGGGTCCTGATTTTTTTTAATTCTTTATATATCCTAGATAGAAGTCCTCTGTCTGAGGGGCAGTTGGATAAAATTTTTTCCCAATACGTGGGTTTTCTTTTTACTCTATTGGTGATTTTTTTTGATGTGCAAAATCATTTCAATAAGATGAGATCCCAGTTGTTGATTCTTTGAAGTATTTCCCGTGCGGTTTGGTTTTTGTTCATGAATTCTCTGCCTATCCCTGTGTCTTCAAGATCTTTACCTACTTTCTCTTCCAATAGATTTAGTGCTTCTGTTTTAATATTTGGATCTTTGATCCAGTTTGACTTTAGTTTAGTGCATGGTGAAAGACAGGGGTCTAGTTTTAGTCTTTGGTATGTGGAAAACCAGTTTTTCCAGCACTATTTATTAAGGAGGCTATCTTACACTGATTTGAAGGCAACAATATGCAACGGAACAACCATTGGTGAATTCCTACAATCTTATCTAGTGAAACCCTGTATTATCTCTAATGTTTTATCTAATAATTATTTTCTTATTCTCTTTAATAGTTTGAACAATCTTCCATTCTTACATCTGGTAATCTGAGCAACATAGTTGAAGATAACAATATATAATATAACAACCACTGTTAATTTCTATCATTATGTTTTGAAACCTGTATCACTTTTCATGCCCTTGCTTTGTTTTGTTTATGTTTGCAGTGTTGGTTATATTGCTTTGTTTTGTTTATGTTTGCAATGTTAGCTGCTATTCTTTCTTTCTTTTACTACTCTCTTTAAAATAAAAAGATAAAAGCAAATTAACATCACTCAACATATTAAAATACACATTTTTATTCACTGGAATTCAATTTGAAATGTACATGGAAAGCAAAGAGGCTTTCTAAGAAGTTACAACAACATACACCATAGACATTAGGTCTACAAATAAAACAAATAAGACTTTTAGAAGTCTTTCCACAATTTCATCTTCCAGACTTTGGGGAGTGGTGGTAGAAATTAATATCCAGCTTTTCCCAGTCATACTCAGAATACTCCTGGTGCCTAGGGGGAAAAGAAGTATCCTCCAATTAATACATTTATAATTCTGACTCTTTCAATGCAATATAACATTTGCATTATAAAATCATAGTGATGAAGAGGGAATACTGCGTAGTGCTTTTTAACCAACCCATGAAGCAAACTGTTTTCCTCTCACTTGTTTTGACCACTTGCCCTCAAAAGTCACAGGCTTATTCATGTGCCAGACTTGCCTCTTTTCTTTTTCTGTTTTTTTTTTTGTTTTTTTTTTTTAATGATACCAGGAATCAAACTCAGGACCTTGTGCTTGCCAGGCAGGTGCTTGTGCCACTGAGCTATATTCCTGGCCCCAGACTTGCCTCTTTTAAGAGATAGCTCAAGAAACATCATAATGACCGTTCTCTGTGGTTTGTTATCAGTATTTATAAAGTACCTGCAACCACTTATCACTTAATCGTGTTTATTGGCACTGGTGCAATCTTCATTCCCTTCTCACCTATCAGGAAGTGAAAATTTAAAAACTGGGGAAAGGTGAGTAGTGACCAAATTAAAACAAACAAACAAAACAACCAATGTTTTTTCTACATTTTCTTGATATTTCCTAAAGATCTTCTCTCTTGGTTTGACCACAGACTATGACATCAAATGTTTAATTTACTCTACTTCTCTGTTACAGAAATGACTTCTGTTTCTTGGTTTTTGTTTTTTGTTTTTGGGGGGCTTCTTTTGTCTTTGTGAGACAAGATTTCACTATGCACTTCAGGCTGGTCTTGAACTCACAGAGATCCTCCTGCCTCAGCCTCCTGAGTGCTGGGATTACAGGTGTGAGCCACCATGCTCAGCTTTTTGTTTTTAATGGCTGTGATTTTTTAAGGTCTTAATTTGTGGTCTGTTTTCTACACTGTCAGAACACTTTACTGAGAGTCCATCAGACAGAGAGTTTGGAGTCATTCTTAATCTCCTTTTCAGAGAGGGCAAAGGCAAATTATGTTTTCAAAGCCATACAGTGAAGTTCCTTACAAATGCACTTAAAATGAATGTCAATATTTGTAAAAAACTGAAATATTTGGATAATAAAATATTTTATCTATTTTCACTTAAAATCAAAATGAAGTCAGGTATAGTGATGAACCTCTGTAATTGGAGGCAGGAGGGACTGTAAATTCAAGCCCAGCCTGGGCAACTGAGGGCTTAGCAAGACTGTCTCAAGTTAGAAAATCATAAGAAAAAAAGGTTGGGGATGTATCTCAGTGTGAACGTCCTGAATTTCAATTTCCAGTATAAATGAAAACCAAAAAAATTAAAAAGGCGAGTTTAGTTTTAAGACAGAAGAAAAAGAAACATGAAAATTATGCTAGTGCTGTCCCTTCATCTTGATTAATCTTTATAATAAATTGTTCCAATCCCCGAGGAAGGAAGAACTTGCCCCAAATTACACAGCAATCATTAGCAAAGTGAGCGTCTGAAATTTTCGCTACGTTCAATACATCTGCTTGTGTTCAGCGACGGGAGGCAAGAATAATACGTGGGTTTGCCAGATGACATTCTTCCCCTCCCGTGGCCTCAGCCTTGAGCGTGGCTTTCCTCAGTCCGTCTGCCCGGGAGCTCCACAAACAGGGAGAGAGGCGTTGGCGGTGGGCATAGATGGGCGCCCCTTCCTCACCTGAACAATCCCCGGTGGTGGGAGGTGACTGCTCCTTGGTCTTTGCTGGGTCTGCCGTTGCTAGACCAAAGTGCATGTGGCGCGGGTGGTCTCTTAGCAACCCTGGCCCCTGTGTCAAAGCACATTATCAGGTTCAATTTGACTGCCAGGCCGTGAGGAAGTAGGGGGAGCAGGGAGGCTACACGGAGCAACTCCACGATTATTTTCAAAAGGAGACGGGAAGGAAGTGTTGAAACGACTTTGGAAAATAGGACATTTTAATTTCACCATCACAGAATTGTGTAGTCAAAACTGGAACAGTTCACAGAGAGATTAAGCTGAATTCTAGGATTTCCCTGGCAGGGCAAACATTTATCATACTTTTTAAAGAAATAATTCCCTAGAGATTATTCGAAATGAGTGTTTAAATATTATAGCAAAGAAAAGTTATGTGTGTACGAGACCACAACTTATGAGATTGTATACCCGATATCTTTCCAGCGCTAAAGATCAAACTGAGCCTCACGTGTGCTCTATCACTGAGCTACATCCCAGCCCCAGGTCTGGTTTTTATCTATTGTAAGTTTTAAGATTTTGTCTCACTATCACAAACAAATTGGAGTGCAGAGGAAGAGATTTATTGACCAAAAATTCAAGTTACAAAATATGATTGCTCTACCCTTTACCACTTTAATTCTCCCTTGGGTAATTTATGCTAATGACATTATCTTAAATACAAAGATATTATGGTCAAAAGTATTTTTTGGAGTTTTATTTTTTCTTCTTTTTTGTAATTTAAAATCAGGTTGAGTATCCCTTATGTGAAATGATTGGACTCAGAAGAATCTCAGATTTTGGAATCTTTGCATATACAAAATTATATATTACAGGAGAGAACCCAAGTCTAAACATTAAATTCACTTCCGTCTCACTATACACATCTTGTAAACATAGGTTGAAGATAATTTTGTACAATATTCTTAGTGCTCCTGAATTTTGACTGTAACGCATCAATGAAGTTGAGTGTAGTGTTTCAAATTGTGGTTTCATATTGGTGCTCAGATATGGAGTTTGGGGATTAAGGATGCTCACCTTTTATATCAGGCACACAAAAAAGTAGAGCTATCATAAGTGAATAATAAATCACAGTGGATAAATTGTAAGTTTAATAAGATCTACCCCATCAAGAGGGGCCACAGTTCATTTTCATCACAAAAGGAAAGATAGAAGCAGCGATAAGGAGACTCCTTAAATAAATGGATTCAGCCACATAAGAAATATCATTTTTCCATTAAAATGAGGGTTACTACAAATGTCAAATCAAGAAATCATGGCCATACTTCCTAGAAATGATTTTTCTTTTTCTTGTTCTTCTTTTTCTCCTTCTTTTTCTCTACTGGGGCTTAAGCCCAGAGCCTTGCACATACTAGTCAAGTTCTCTACCACTGAACCACGTGCCCTAGCCTGAAATCAATTGCGATTCATGTTCATAGCAAACCATTATACTCCTAAGCAAATACTTGGCTACCTTCTGCAGGACATACATACAAATATTATTTATTTATGGTATCTAAGACTTGGGAACAACTTAAATACCCAGTAAATAAATTGTGGGATAGTGATATAGTACAGTAACAGAGTGAGTGTTATCATATTGGATTTTTTTAAAAAGCAAGGCACGAAAGAAAACACACATTTGTAAGTACTTTTATACAAAGTAGAAAGACAGTTACAGTGCATGATTCGGGGGTGTGATGACAGGTGACAGTGGGTAACAGGCGTTAATTTGGGACAGGCTGCTGTAAAAATCAGGGCAGTGGTGACCAAGTGTGGACAGAGAAAGGGCTGAGCAGGAGCTTTCAGCAATGTTTCCTCAACTGGGTAGCGGTGCACTGAGCACTTTATTTAGTTGTGTGTGTGTGTGTGTGTGTGTGTGTGTGTGTGTGGTCCTGGGGATTGAACTCAGGGCTTTAAGAAGGCCAGGCAAGCTCTCTGCCACAGGGCTGCATCCTCAGCCCTGGTAGTCACTTTTTAACTATTTGTTAAACTATATATAGAAATTGTATGCACTCTTCTGTATGTACATTCGACTCCATAATTGAAATATTTTTAAAAATATTAGAAGAGTACGTAGGAATGTCGATGGTGCTGGGTTAAGCTGGAGGGACGATGGGTGATTTTTCCTCTTGTTGTTTGTGCTTCTCTTGTCCTTTCAGGAGGGCGTTGCCTCTATAATACCTGAAAACTAAAGAAAGTGAACCGATTCCTGCTAGCCGGTTCCCTCTCCACATATTTCAGAGTAATTTATGCTCATTGTATCTTTGTGAAACGAATCATTAGAACAAATATGAACAAAAGGAAAATTAAATTTATCAGTGAAACATTGTACTGAAAATATGTAATTTGTTTTGTACGCCTATATCTGGTCATTTGAGCAACTACTTTGAAGATAACAATACATAATATAACAATCACTGTTAATTTCCTATCATCTTGTTTTGAAATTCTACAGTGTTTGTATTGTTATTTTTATTCTCTTTAAAACTAAAAAAAAGAAAATATGTAATTTATATAACCAACAAGATAAATGTCTTTCACTAAAGAACATGTTCCCGTCTTATTCAAAATACTGAGAGAAGCAGGAACCTATGTGAAACCTTTGTGGTTCCTGTTTGGTTCTGTTTCTAAATCTAACTCACTACAGGGCCACAAGTGTGTATCGTCAGAGCTAGTTAACACACACACACAGGTTTTACTGTGGATTAAAGTCACGAGGATGACAATACTTGATTTTAATTCTCACTCAGCTAGACTCTTGGTAATCCAGCACTTTTTGTTTTAGAGTTAAGGAACATTCTTGAGGTGGGGAAGTTATTTAATAGCAGCAATTTTCAGGATAAACATTTCCAGTGCTTTTTATCTTAGAGGGGAGGAGAAGGGGAAGTAAAAAGAATTGAGCTGTATTATGTACATGTACTAACTTGCCAAGATGAATATAATAATTATGTACTGCAACTATATACCAATAAAAATTAAAGTTTTAAAAATGTATCCAAAATATACATACATTTCAAGCAAGATAGAGCTCTTTAAAAACTACAGTAGAATAAATTCAGTGTGACTATCTTAGGACCTTGGTCTTATCTTAGATGTGGTATTTTAAAATCTTAGTTAAAATGACATGACCTTCAATTTCTGATATGACATCTTAGGTTAGTTGGGGCCAGGGTTATTTTATACTGAAACTTCAGATGATCATGATGAACTTCCCTTTCCGCTTGAGTGCTTCTATCGCTCTTTTCCGTCTTCCTAGAGGACAGTGGAAGTCATTTCATTATTTTTTAGACAGATAGAGAGTAGCAACAACTCCTGCTTTCTAGGAGCTCGACTTTTTGTTCTTCAGCCTGCCACCAGCTTACCAGCCCTTGCCTTTGAATCCTTTCCTACCTTTCTTTCTTTTTTCTTTCTCTGTCTCTCTAACATCTACCAT